TTTCACACAGGTTCTCGATGACGTGAGTGATGACGATGAAATAAGTTGATAGGCAAGCCCCCTCGCATATATTAAATTAAACTATATAAAGGACGCTACAACAACAGAGGTTGGTAACGACTCTTATGTGCGAGGTAGGGGCACATAAGGTTGATCATAATAATAGGAATTGAAACCCGAATCACCAACGCCACGGCTCTGGCGAGAAGCCCTTAGAATAACTTACCATTTACGCCCGTAACATTTGGTGGTGACTTACTATTTCCCCCGTAATAGTTGTTAGAGGCAAAACGTGACCTAGCTGTAAGCACGTGAGTGAGAGGGAATAACATGACGGAAATTTTTCGAAACCAATCGAAATTTGAAAATTTTGGATATTTATTCCTATATGAATTTAATCATGTAACGTAAAACAATTGGCTTTTGCGGAGCGTCTACGGGCACGTACCAATTCACGTACTCTAACTTTAGGTAAGTATATTAACATGTGACAGGTTTTAGAGTTATATAATAGTTACGTGCATATTCATGTGATTGGTACGTGCCCGTAGACGCTCCGTGGCTTTTGATTGTGCTAGTCATGTGATTGCGATTTCAAATAACCAGCTTTCAAAAATGAATGATATATTTTAATTCCAGCCGGGATCACGTGATTACGGCTAACTCAAAGCTAATTCTGGCCAAGATCGAAATTTCTACTACAACGTTTTTCCAAAAATTTCCGTGTCCCTAACATGACCTAGCTGTAGGCACGTGAGAAACGTGATCATGACCTGAAGCCATAACCCGAACCAAGGTCACGATCCGAGCCGAAGCTAAGCCCCAAGATCCCGACATGTGAAAGCAGCATTTAATAAATGCTATTTTGGGTTTGGTTCGAGGTGAAGCTCATTGAATAATGGCTTTGTGAGAACCAAGATCATAGTCAGTAAATTAAACATTATAGCTTGCAGATTCCCCCCTCCCGATACTCAATTTAGATATGTTGTTTCAAAGTCTCAATGTATTTCTCTTGTATAAAAGTCCTGTAATTTCTGTTAGTAATATGGCTAGACAAGAGATCGTTCGTTGTTATTAATAAAAACCCACCTTAAAGACCAGGATCTTAGCGGCAATAAGATTCTTGGTTCTCGGACCAAATTTTCCGCGTCTCTTTTGGATTGCCTTATGCTAAGTTATGTTTTAACTATGAGGGACCCGGCAGACCAGAATCCGCCCCTCACAACGTATAATGCGATACATTTAGTTCCTTCAAGTCGTTTCATTCATACTAATTAGTCAGTATGAAACTCACGTTGAATTCTCACATTTATTAATCGTTCTTACCTATACCCTTCAGATCACATTAATTTTAAAAATCAGAGATGCGAATAAATAGTTATATAATTATTAATAAGGAATCCTAGTAAATGTGCACATTTTTAATGAAGATAATATAATTGCATCAACTTAGGACTTTTGAATTTGAAGTATGTGATTATTACAAGTTATAACGATAAGGAAATTTTTTTAGTTGATTCGTCACTTAAATAATTATATAGTAGTTAATTGAATAAATTAAATTATACAGTAATAAACTTGTAATATAACATGAAATACAAATATAAATGAATACTTGATGCTTCATTACTATTACTCGATCAAAAAACTTTTTTAATAATTCGATGAAAATACGAGAATATGTTAGCTATATCTAACCCGAAATAACACTAAAATACATAACAGTATTTTCTATTATAGTGAATAATTCTAGAGTTCTTTCACGAAATTCGCATAGCCATGATGAGAATCGGTCGAAGAAGTTATAGTATTGGTCTTCTAGGGTATACTTAGACGCATACCAGGTCCTTGCATTGTTACTGCAGCCATAGAGCCTAATACCTGACAACGCAAATACATTATAAGGTCTTTGCTATTGAAACTGTGGAGCCTAAACATTTTTTAAAAAAAACCTTCTTATTAATATCAAACTTACTTAAGTATGATGTTCTATGAGAACATGAGAACATCGAATTTCCAACAATGGCCATATGCTCTCAAATTGTGTCATAAGGTCCTTGTACTGTCATACATAGTCTGTCAGTATAATTCCTTGCACTGCCTGCCTCTGCAGTCACGGAGCTTATGGGTATATGTTCTCTCAGTTCCCAGACAGGAAAGGTAGGGAGGATTACGTTCCACACAAAGAGAAACAATCTTAAATATATCATCCTTAAACTGATTATCTCTCCCTAACCCGTGCTGCGAATTCACATGTCAAAACCCCACTTCATCGAAACCTAATTATTCATATATTATCCTGGTATCAAACCCCCCAAAAATAGTTGAAAACCCAACAAAAAAACATAGAAGAATACACGTGATCTACCTTTAGTCATCTGATAATGATACTTATCATAATTGTATTTGAAATTTTGGAAAATTTACATGACACAATTACTTAAAGATACCATATTTAATATGAATTAGATAAATATTTATAGATTCGCAGGATACATTCACAGATCTAAAAAGAAAGTTAAAGCACTATGTTGTTTCTGAAATTTTATTAAATACACAAGTGGCTGTATTTATGGCACTATTATAGCAGAGATAAAGGCCTTTTGATGAGTGTGAACTTTCGTAAAGGCAGGTAACTAGAGTTTACGTACTATTATATTAGATTAACTAATCAATGCATGGTTTCGATTCACAGAAACGTCTTGTTGCTTATGATACGTATTTGGTAAAAAATTGGTGATTATACAGATGAAATCAAAAAAGCAATTTTTAGATGCTGACAAACGTTGCCAATATACAATATCTAAATGAATTGTATATTAGCATTGCCAATAAAAATAATTACGACTTGAATTTTTTGTTTTTTTTCTATTATACTAAATTTTAAAAATAAATTATAAAAATCTACTATTACTATGCTAGTTAACGATTATTTACCAAAAAACTATTTCAATTTATCAGTAATCAATTCTTATTTAGGGGTCATTAAAAAACTAACCTAAAGTACCTGGCTTTAACGTCCCCCTTATTTAGTAACTGTGAAGTAGGGATGTTAAGTGGTCTTTAAGGGGCTAGTTCGGACCGAGTTCGGATCGGACTTTTAGAGGACTAGTTCAGAACTGGTCCAAACTAGCACTATTTACATGATATTAAATGAATGTCTTTTTTGACACATCGAATAAAAAAAAAAAAAATTTGAATCAATAACAGAAATTTTTAAATTACTATAATTTAAAACTAGTTGGGCGATTAACTTTATACTCCAATTGGTTAAAAAAAGATATTTTAGACGGAATATGGTTAGATTAACTAAAGTATGAACTAGTTATGAACTAGTAGTCCTAACTGGTTAAGGACCGGACTTTTTAAGGACTACAATAGAACCGGACTAACCGGACTTTTTAACATCCCTACTGTGAAGTAAAGGTAAGTCACAACAAATACTGAAATATCACATTAACCACGTGCAATATAATTGATTGGTTAGTTGATAAATATATATATAACGTTTGCATATAGATCATTTACTGAATTATCACCTTTGATGAGTCAAATCCGCCCATATGTTGTCAAAAATTCATAGGATGAATATTAATTTTAAAATCAATAAAAAAATATTTAGCTATATCGATATATATATATATATATATATATTGTAAGGCGACTTAAAGTTAAAGTTTTGTTTAACGTAATTTTTTTGGTATTTGTACGGGGGGAGGGGACATTAATTTTAAACGAGGTTGAATGGTCCAAAATTAGGTTCAAGCCGCCTAAATAAAAACACTAAATCATTTTCTATATTTAAAAAATTTATTTATTAGATGCTCAAGAATAAAGTTCTATTTATTAAGGTGTTTCAAAATTAAAATTAGACATCTATTTCGAGATGGGAACTGGTCAAAATCCCGGCAAGGCCGACGGATTAGTCCGCATTAGGGTTAGGGTTGGTTGGCATAGTGTTAGTCAATTTTTGTCGGGATTTTGACCTACACCCTTTCGAGAAGTATTCGTTTCAAAATAAGCGATCTATAATCCATTTTATATTAAGCTTATTTACATTTATCAGTAATTTAAATACTGCTATTTCATTTCCGATTTCAAAATTTTAAAATACTAATCCGATTTTTTAAACCCCTACTTTATTTTAGAAACCCCTATTTATTTTATTAATAATGCAGATATTATCTTCGTTATTTTAAAATTAATTACAAATATGTAAGAACACACGCCCAAATTTTAAAAAGGTATATATATATATATTAGAGTTCCGATTATTCCATTTTTTGCTGTTAATTTTTCTACCTTTTATCCGGTGTTACCTGATGGTGACGTTGGTGATTCGGGGTCAAGCCCAATATAATCAACCCTATGTACCCCTACCGCTACCTCGCACATAGTCGTAACCAACCTCACTTGTTGTTACATTGAACATATGCGGGAATGTTAGCTGCTATCATATTATTTTATCATACGATTACTGTCACGTCATTTCTTTGGGGCTTGGTCCAAATAACTTTTGTCGACGCTTAGCTGTTAAGTGGTCCATTTATGGATTTGTGTCAGCCACTTTAATTTTGGACTCATCGCCACTCGATTTCGACGCAGTTCCGAACTTATCTTTCGGGGTTACCAATTTACTCTTTTATTTGTGATAATCATTATCTGCACTGTGCTGTGTTTGTACATAAACATACCGATGATGGGCATCCTAATACGTAAATTTTATGTAGGAAGCGTTTTTCATATGTTGGATGTAAACTTTTTTCTAAAAATAAACCATTGAATAATCAGCCGAATTAATTGATTAGAAACTGACCACTTTTTTAATCGATTAAGTAGACTAGACAAAAAAAGATAAATAACTCTAAAAATTTTCCCATGATCCTGCAGGCGATTCATATATAAATTGAGATGTTCTCCCCTCTAAAAAATTATAAAATTTTCCTTTGAAATCGGTCCTTATAACTTCTTATCAACATAATATTCAAAAAATAAATATCATGGCAATAGCACGAGATCATGCGGTAAATTGATTATTAACCCATTTTTCGGTTTTAAAAATTATTCCAACCTAAAATTTCATTTATGTTTATGATAGCATGCAAGATGGGTTAAAGCTTGTAATGGAGAAATTCCACCAAATTCATTTTGGGAAGGAGATCATGCAATTGGTAGAGGATATTATCAGAATGGATTACATGTAGGATATGTAAAACCAGGCCAAGGACTTTTTATTGGATGGGACGGATCAGAACATATTCTCAAAGAATATGAAGTTCTTGGTGGAGACAAATCTCATTTTCATTGGGTTCAATGGTAAATTGTTTATATATGTTTTATAATAATTGGATTTATTGATTTACTTTTTTTTTCATTTTAAAGTCATGGACGTTGTCAACCACAAGGCTTTACTCCTTTGAAAGGAGGGTATGAAGCTGTAAGTTCCATTTTACGCTTTAATCGAAAATTATTTAATCTTTTTGTTTTTTTTAAAATAAAAAAAAAAACTTTATTTGCTTAATTAGGACGGTAAAGAACAATTTATTGGTAGAGTGGACAATTATCAAGGAAAAGACAGAATCGGTAAAGCCGGTCCAGTAAGTCTTTTTTTTTATTATTGCAACATTCTTTTTCTTTTATTATATACAATATATATATGTAAATTTTTTGCATTATATCAAATAGCATTTGATCGATGGAATGAATTTTGCTGTAGATGGTCGTGAAATTTCTTGTCCGAATTATTTTGTATTCGCAATTAACAATCACTGTTAAAAATTCGGCACAAATATGTTGTACAGAAAATTTTTTTTATATGTAAAATATTTTTTATTTTTTGTGCACTTGCACCAATTTTGTGCAAATAACAATACGTGCATAATGAATTTTTAACACCGTTAGGGAATTGTTTTTTTTTTATGTACACCTAAAAATAATTCATTGAATAAAAAATCTTTTGACTTTAAGATTTTCCATTATAGTTATTTGAAATATAGTATTCATATAATTGATTAAACAAAAAACTGACCAATCAATATTCTTTGAGCGTGATGGGAATCATGTATCAAGAATAATATTCTGATCTTTAGGGAGTTTAGATATCTTTATAGGCTTATGTGAAACTGTTGAAGATGGTAGAGATGAGATGGTGCATTCTGTAAGGAGTTATCATTCGGTAGGTGTGATCGAGACACCTACCTGAGCTGAAACCAAGGGATTTATTTGCGCTTCCGATAACATTAGTCCGATCGGAAGAATTAATAATAGAATTATCCTGAGAAATGATCCATAATATTTTGGTTTTCGTCATTAGTGAACTTTGATATTTATTCGCGTTGTATGGCCTGATATATAATCCTATTTTTTCGAGTAATTTGTAGACCTTTATAACTCTGAGTTTTTTTTTACGCAAAGTATCTCTTGATATGTCTAGAAGTGGTATCCCTGTATCTTGTGACCTTTTTCTGCGAAGAATGTTAAGTTGCTTTACAGCTTCATATATTAAACTCATCGCTTTTTTTTCCCCAATTTTATTTTTATTACGCAATTCGTTTTCCTGAAATACAAAATTTCTTTCATAGCAATGCCAGCACAATAATTATTTTGATTTGTCATATCAATCTACTTTTTCTACTAAATTCTTTCGTCTAAAACTTAATCATCATTTAACTCTGCTGAATTAGATGTTTTTTTATTATATTGGTTGAGTTAAATTTCCGGGACGCGGTCTCGGAAATTTTAGTCACATGATCTAGTACCTCTGAAGATATAGATGAACAACTCCTGTTCATTTTTTGCTTTTAAAGGAACAATAGGGACAGAACTCTGAAGTTACGAGTGCCTTTGAATTACAAAGCTTTTTTTCTTGCTTATCCCATCACTAATCTCCTTCTTGAATTTCGATTCTAAGAATTCATCCATCTTCCATGGCTTGGAGTTGACATCATCTGCTTCACAATCAGGCTTACACTGCTGGGTTGGACTGCTACAAAGTCGGGTATAATGGCAGGTTCTTCGATTCGTTTATTATAAATTTTTTTGGAATCTAAAGCTTCCTGAAAGATATTTTTTTTTTTTTTTTACTAAGTAAAACTCATTTATGGTTCTAATTAAAGTTGTAGAGGAAAAAAATTCTGGTCATAATGACAGTTAAACCGTTAAAATCGACCCAATGGATCGTGAGATACAAGGATTTAATTTTCGCGACTATATGTTAATTTCATTTTGTAAAGATGTAAATATGTGGAGTGTCCCCTATTAAAAGAGAATGATGATACAAATAAGTTTTTCGATTTAAAATTTTATTTTATGGATCTTTTTATTATATAATCAGTTCTTGTAACTTATGACAAATCATTTCATTGAATATGTATCTATTAAAAAATCAAATAATTTTTTTTTTTTTTTTAAAAAAAAAATGCCCTCCCTAGGGGGACACTCTATATAGTTACGAGAATTAAAATCCTTGTATCGCGATCCACCGGGCCGATTTTAGTGTTTTAACAGACATTATGATCAGAATTTTTTAATTTTTTTTTGCCTCTACAACTTTAATTAGAAGCATAAATGGATTTTACTTAGTAAAAAAAAAAAAAAAACTGTCTTTCGGGAATCTTTAGATTCAAAGAAGGTAAAACTAATAGTAAATTCCACTGGTTCACACGCGGATCACAAATTAATGATTATATATTGAAAATATTAATATACTAAAATAAAATTAACGTCATAATATGGGGGCTCGTCAGTAGAAAAGGGGAAAAAAGTTTTTAGTAACTTTTTTTAAAAATTTAAACTAAAATATCTTAATAACTACTAAATTAAATTTAATAAATTTTTTTTTATTTTAATTTTATATTTGAATAGAATTAAAATAAAAAAAAATTATTAAATTTAGTATAGTAGTTGTTAAGATTTTTTAATTTAAAGTTTGAAAAACTTTTACTTAGGAACTTTTCCCCCCCTTTTCTACTGACGAGCCCCCATATAATGAATTTAGTAAAACCGTTGTTGCACACTTTCCGACATCACATAGGGTTAGGGTTAGCATTTCATTAGTTTTAGGCATATATTATTAGTAAATTATCACCTACGTGATGTCAGGTAAATGGTCTTTCGGGGAAATGACCATCGGGAAAATTGAGCGTAACATATAAAATCGTTAAAAATATTAAATATTACGAGAGAAACTAATAAAAAATCTTAATTAAATTATGTCGCTTACATCTATACGTATCGATATTTGTAACAAACGCCACCTATTTTTAAAGTGTAACTGAAAAATCTTTTAGTTGGCTAAAATTTCCGTAATACTAAATAACGACAAATATGGAAAATGCTAGCCAGAGCTATAGACTAGACAAAGCATTTTGTTAGTATTATGTAACGCAAAGCAAAAACGGAAAAATCAAAGTGATATTTAAGATTTTGTTATCATTATTGAAAATGTCTTTTGCACATAATAAAAGTTCTCCCGAAAGAATTCACCAATGGATTCCGAAAGACGAAAATCAGAATTAGATAAGAAAATACAAATATTAAAAGCATTGAGCAGAAGACATGAATTGAAAAAAGAACTTGAGTCACTTGAATCAAAAGGACTTAAAGAGTCGACAAAAAAGGAAAAAGCAAGAAAAGATGAACTTGATGATAAACTTGATATATTACTTAAAAATTTTCTTTTAACGATATTATCAAATGACATTATTCAAGAATATCCTGAATTTAAGGGATTGAGAGCTCAATTGGTTGAAGAGCAAGCTAACCGTCAAAAGTTAAAAGAGGAATCGATTGAAAAAGATGAACTTAAAGGTTTGCTTCCAGTAAAAATAGAAAATGACGTTAATCAAAACTATCAAGAAGTTGAGATATTTAACGGAGGTCTATTTGTCGAAGAACAAGCTAACCATCAGAAGTTAAAAGAGGAATTGATCGAAAAAGATGAACTTGATAAAGTTAATGAACTACTTAAAGATATGCTTCCAGTAAAAATAGAAAATGATGACGTTAAACAAAACTATCAAGAATTTGTGATATTGAAGGGAGGTCTATTTGTCGAAGAGCAAGCTGACAGTCGGAATTTAATAGAGATAAATAAATTAAAAACTGAATTGGCAAAAACAAAAGTAAGTTTATATCTAGAAAAACGGAAAAGACTAGAAGTTGAAAGAAAACTGGGTGAAGAAATAAAAGAAACGGACCAAATTAAGCAGTTAAAAAAGGCTCAAAATAGTTTAAAACAAAATAAAGAAGTAAATAATGTTAATAATAGTCTAAAACAAAAGGAAGATCTGCTAAAAGAAGAAAACAGTAATGAAGAAAAATTACAAATAGAAGTAAATGAATTAAAAAATAGCTTAGCAAGAAAAGAAAAAGAAATAGAACAACTAGAAACTCGGCTTAAAAATTACCAAAGTATAAGTACATCAATTAAGCAAACAGAAAAAGAGTTAGAAAAAAAGCGAAATGAATATATAAGTGGAATGGGTCTTAAAATTTTCAACATAACAGGAAAAGAGAAAGAAAAGGAAGAAATAGAGGATAAACTCGATACCTTTTTAGGAGCTACAGATGAATTAACGCGTAGGCCAGGTAATGATTTTGTCATTGGAGAAAAAAAAAAAGCTAAAGACTACTTAAATAAAAAGCCTGGCTATCAAAACCATCGAAAGTTAACCGATCTTGAGAAAAAACAAGAAGAGCTTGCCAAACTAGAGATGCTATTAGAAGGCTCACAAGATGAAAATGAATTAAAAGGCTCACAAGATGAAAATGAATTAAAAGGTTCTCAAGATGAAAATGAATTAAAAGGCTCTCAAGACGAAAATGAATTTAAAAATCAAATTACTCAAATTAGTTCAAAAGAAAATAAAAATGATAATAAGGCAATTGTACCAAAATATGAAAAAAAAGAATTTGCAGCAACTTTTGGAATTTCTCCTATTCCTGCCATAGGTGTTCCACCAGTTGGTTTAGGAGTGACATATAAATCTGAAATTCAAAATTAATAGTCTACACCAACTGCTACTGTATTGCAAATATGCTGGACATCTTAATTTATCTTAGTTTTTAAAGTATACATTTTTTAGGATACAAAGAATCTATAAATTGATTTATAATTAACATGTACTTTAATAATTTGTTTTTTTATTACTTTTATAATTCGAATGTTGGTAATTAGAGTTTACATTATAATAAAAATTTTTTTAAAAAATTTTAATACTGTATTTTAAGTTATAAGATGCATAAGTTGCAATCTTAAACATTAAAAAAAAATAAAGTGGCGCTAGGTAATATAAGCTTTTTTTTTTTTTTAAAAAAAAAAAAAGAATTAGACTAAGTCGAATGCAAAGACAAGCTTAAGATATAAAGCCAATGCCAATAAGATCAGCCACAAAAAATGTGGTTGACGCATAGATTATGTTATATATATAAAATCTCGTCATGCATTAAAGTTTTTTATAATGAATATAGAAGATAACTATTATATCTGTAATTAGAAATATAAAGGCAAAGAAATTCACAATACTACTGTGAGCCCGAAGGATAATCACGGAGCTCGGAAACGTGATACTAATCACGTGAAAAATTCAAAATCTGCAAAATATGCAATTTATTGCATTTTATCACCGGAAAGGACGATCGGATTTTAAATAATAGAAATCAGATCAAAGGGGTTATATGTTGGATAAAAGATTTTATTAAACATCATTAGATATAATAGAGATATAGGATTTTATTAAATAATAGATGTAATAAGGCACTCATAGAGAGGCCAAAATAATATTATAAATAAAAGCTGAAATGGCTCTAGTTGAAGTTTCCAACTTTGCTTTAAAAACAATAATAATCTGACCCAATAAATAATAATATAATAATAATTCGCTAAATCCTTAACCACTAAAATACCTAACCCAAGTTTGTTGCTAATTGGCATAGTGATAAACTTTGTCTCTCTATAAACCCTTGTTCATGTGACCCTCTCTAAATTCGTCACCTCGTCCAGTTGTTAACCTAATGTACTTGGTACAACTATAGTTAATTTGTCCAGCTTGCCTGAAGTAGTGTGGTATAGCTGAGGTTAAAAATTGAATAGCAACTACTTGGATATTAAAGATACCTACCTATGGAACCAACTAGCTCACCAAATCTAACACACTTTCTTTCTAGTAAAGCCTACTGTAGGTTATACAAGTATTTGGATTATTGAGTAACTGACTTGCCATATTGCCTGGTTTCACTAGCTTTACAGGAGTTTTCACTAGAGCTCTAAAAGTTTTTGTAGTTTTCTAATTTTTGGGAGAGTATAGAATATTTTGCATTTTTTAGAGGAAGATGAGTTTTAGAGAAACCTATGATATCAATATTGTTTTTATTAATAAAGTCATATAGAAGTTTTTGTCTATTATTAGCTAGGCTATTTGTATTTAGTGAATATATTTTTAATTGATGAGCAGAAGTTTGTGATAGAGATAGTAGTAAAGGTATGTCATTTGTTGATTTGAGAGATAAATCATTATATGGATAGAGATAATTTGGTTTAATAAAATCATAGTTTTTGAGTAATTTAATATTATTTGATATATAAATATGAATTCTTTAAGTATAGAATTGTATGAGAAAGCTGAGATTATAGGAAGTTTATGTAATTTTAAATAAAGAAGGAAGGATTTAATTGTTTGATTAGATAGTAATAAAGGAAGATTATAATAGGCAAAAAATTTGTTGTAGCATAAAAGTAGATTACAGAATTTTAAGGATGTTGAGTGTGTTTCTACTAAGAGATTATCTTCTATATGGTCAGATGAAGATTTATAGTTAGAAGACAAGTTTACTGAAAAGGAGTAGTTTCTGTTTAGAGAAATAGGGAATCATTGACTTGTATTTCTTAGAAGGTGATTTTGAATTTTTCTTGGAGTAGTTTCTGTTTAGAGAAATAGGGAATTATTAACTTGTTTTTCTTAGAAGGTGATTTTGAATTTTTCTTGGAGTAGTTTTTCAGCTTCTGGGTATACTGTTGTTTTATAGAAATCTGTTATTATTTTGTAAGTTGGTTTTTTGTTGAGAATGATATCGAAGTAGGTAATAACTTGAGTAAGATAATGTATGTCTATAAGTTGCTGAGTAATATGTTCAATTGCTTATTCTTTTGTTAGATCTGAGATTTTGTGATTTTGGATAGCATGATTATAATATTCAGCTGAGTAGAGGTAAAAGTAGTAGTTGCGATAACAAATATTTGGTTTGACTATATTTGTTTCACAGATAAATTTCTCTGCCTAGTCTACAAGTTTGTCAAGTATTTGTAGAGGAATTTTGTTTTTGAGTGATGCTTTATGTTTGCTATCTATTTCAAAAATTGAAGTATTAATACTTGGAGTTTTCTATATTTCATAAATCTGTGGGATGAAAAACTGATTTGAAATGTTTAATTATATCTTTAAATAATTGAGTAGAGTTGTGATATTTTTGAAGTTTTATGTTTGTTTTGTTTTGGTTAGAGTTTTGGTTTGGGTTCTTAATTAGATATTTGCATGTTTCATTTGTGCAAGTTAAGATGTGGTGATTTGTATAGTAAGAGGCTTTATTTTAGTAAACACTAAGTGAAGCTAGTTTTTTGAATTCATACTTTTCTGGTAGGAGTTTTGTAAGATGTAAGATAAAGTGTTAGCAGATTTGGTATTTAAGGTAAGAAAAGGTTTTTTGTTTATTGATTATTGTTGTAAATTATCTTGAATAGGCTGAAAAGATTTTTTCAAACTATTCAGTTAGATGTTCAAGAGAGTTTTTTAAAGAGGGTATGTTGAAGTTTTCTAAGAAAAGAGTTTTAGGAAGGTTGAAAGAGAGTTGAATATTGAATCAGAGGTCTGAGATTTTAACATATTGTATTTTTTAGTCAAAAGATTCAATTTTTGAATCAATTTTGAATCTTTTGGGTCTGAGTTTGAAGTCCTCATTAAATTTAGTATAATTAATTAGTTGGTATTTATCTGATAGGTAAAGATAGAGTCTTGCTATGTTAAGACAGATTTGGAGTTGATTTTCTATTTTGTGTAAGGGAATAGTAATTGGTGGAACAAATATTTTACTATAATTTAATTTGATAAAAAGAATAGTGATGAACTTGAGCATAATATTTTTGAGAGTAGATTCTAAAAGATCAAAATAAATAGTTGCAACTGAGTTAGTTTGAGAGTTAGCTTTGTAGATTAGATCTGTTAGGAATTTTAGATATTGTTCTGCTATTGAGCAGATAAGATATTTGAAAGACATTTCTTCAGAAGAAAAATTAGTTAAGTTAGATTTAATGAAGTTAAAAGGTCAAAAGAAAGTTTAGTTTGAAGTTTAGTATTTGTTTTCATTTCTTCAGTTATTGGATAGTTAGCAAGCCAGTCAAAAGTTAGTTTTGGTTTAGAATTTTAGAAGTTTCAAAGCTTGAGAAGTTCAGTTAGTATTTTAACTGTTTTTTGTTGGATTAGTTGTTTTGTTAGTTTTGGAAATTTTCTTTTTCTAGATTTTTTTGTATAGTATTGTTATTGTTAGGTTAGTTTTTTTGTTAATAGTTTTTGGGTTGTTTTAAGAGTTTAGTTAAAAAGTGTTTAAAAAGAGTCTTTTTAAACTCTTTTGTTAAGAGGAGAATTTTGGTTAGATGAAAAATAGTATGTTGGGTTTGAGTAAGAAGTTGAATTTGGTTAGTAGGTTTAAGTTGAATATTTTGTAATTGTTGCAAATATGCTCTATGAATCAATTTATCTTTAAATAAAGCTGCTTATATATAATTCAGAGCATGTTTAAAGTCCTGGAGATATATATAAAGAATATTTTTGGTCTTACATAAAATATATGTAAGGTAGTGTTGAGAGTGTAGAGTGATTTCAGAAGAAGTAGGATCAGTTTGGAAGTGAGAGAAGAGAATTTTGGAGTTAGGAAGGTCTTGTTTTTTGGAAATAGGTGAAGATAGTAATTCATCTATGATTCTGTTAAACTGTTTAGCTGAGATGTTGGATGAGATATCTATAGGAACTTGAGAAGTAGAAGCTAAGTAAGAAATTTTGTAAAAGCGAGAAGTAAAGCTAGTATGATAATTGTTGCAGAGGCATGTAGCAATTTGAAGTTAGGTTTGAACTTTGAAATAATATTGTTTTTTCAAGTTGGCTTTACAAGTAGTTAGTTGAATTCACTGAGGAAGAACACATAAGAATTCCTCTTTTAGTTCAGACATACTAACTCCAAAATGATCTTTGTATTTGCTGTAGAAGTAGTCGATGTTCTAGAAGTCTGGTTCTGTATTTGTAAGAGTTGGCATATTTGATAAAAAGGTATTCTAACCTCAGAAAAGAGAGGTTAATTTTGGGGGTATGATGAATAAGAATTGTAAAAGTTAGAAAATTATATGATGATTATAGAAAATATAGGATATGACAATTAAGGGAGTATGACAAATAAAATATATTACTAGGTGATGATTAAGGGTTGTGATGAGTAAGAAAATATCACAGATATGATGTGATAATTGGGGTATATCACCAGTGTAACATGATAGATTTAGATTTTACTAAAAATAGATTAAGTTAAATTAATTTAAAAATAGAATTTGTATGAAACTAATTTAGAAAGTTGTGATAATCTGATTTGTAATTCTTTAATT